CTATATTTTTAACTAAAATATGGACGATATTACTAATCACAGTAATAATTAAAACATAATTCTGAGTATTAACTCCTGAGCGTCTTATTTCCAACATGATGATAGTACGCTAAACAGATCAAACTATATTTTTAACTAAAATATGGACGATATTACTAATCACAGTAAAATACCTTTGGATCTCTTGCTTTGATGGGAGGAGGTTTAAGAAAAGAAATATCCTAATAGTTAGTTCTCTGATGAAATGTATTGCTGTGATAAAAAAACCCACATAAGTACGAAGGAAGATTTAATTTGAGCATCACCATGTTCTAACAGAGGAAAGGAATCGTTGAAAATAAATGAGAAAGATAAGAAAATGTCTTACAGGATACTCGAAACTCCAGAAATTCCTTATGATTTGCCGAGAAGCAGCTTGAAATGTCAAAGGCGACATTGTCTAAGTACACCGAACTCTGCTTTATCATGTCATAGAAATTATACCAGAACCGAAGACCTTTGTAATAGATCCCTGAAGACATGTTATACGGACTCTAAGAGAATAAAACGAAATAAGAATTAGCATGCAATTCAAAGAGCGGTGTATTTCACAAACTTGTGAGGTTATAATGACATCGGGAATTGTGAGAATCTCATGAAACAAATCTACTTTTAAGATTTTATTAAACAACAGTTGGCTCATTGTTTACATTTAATGGCGAGTCTGCCTTGGTACGATTGGTTAGGATCGATGTTTTGGGATATTGAAGAATGCTTTTCATTGGTTCAGAATCGATGTCTTCGGATATTGATGAAAGAGTTTGATTGGTTCGGGATCGATGTTTTGGGATACTGATGAAGGTTTTTCATTGGTTCAGGATTGATGTTTTGGGATACTGACGGAAAATTTTGATTGGTTCGGGATCGATGTTTTGGGATATTGAAGATAACTTTTCATTGGTTCAAGATCAATGTTTCAAAATATCTATGAATACTTTTTTTTTAATATTCAAGGGTGTGCCAAAACGTCGAACCTTAACTAATACTATCAAGGTAGACTCTTTATTAAAAATTAACAGAAAAGAAAATAATATGAAATTAGCATAATTACATACTGTATTTAAGATACCTGTATTTCCCCTTAGCGAAATAATTATTACTACTAGTATATATTTACAGTTTAAAGATGCCTTTTATATCATTTTAAATGACACAAAGTTTAAAACCTACAATGGAAACAATAACAGCAACAATTATATGTGTATATATTATATAGGTGGATATAAACAACTGCTGATTTTTTCATGGAATGTAGTTCAGTTAATAGAATGGAAACCTACAATGGAAACAATAACAGCAACAATTATATGTGTATATATTATATAGATGGATATAAACAACTGCTGATTTTTTCATGGACTGTAGTTCAGTTAATAGAATGTTGTTATCAAATTCAAGGCGCGTGCACGTAATTAGGATTACCCAAGTTATAAAGCTAGAATGTGCCAGTTTTGTTATTCCTTATTTGTACAGATATTTATAACTGGAATTTTCACTTTAAAGCGCTAATGGGTTCTTAATTTTCAACCAGAAGAAGAAAAGATAGCCAGCAGAACCTACCGTCACAAGAACTTTGTCCATTCTTATAGCTGACATCACGTGCCAAACCTCGATTTTTTACATATGGCGTACACTAACCGTTAAGCCACGCCCAGCCCAGTTATCTAATAAGATGCATAATTTGTTATATAAGAAAGTTAATATACCTTTACGTTTCTAGAATGGCGGGAATCGCCAGTATTGGAACTTCTCAAGCATTATGTTTAATTGTTTTTCATTAATGAGTTATGAATTATCAACATATAAACCTCCTTTAAAAACTAACTGTTAAAGATGAATAGATATCACAAAAAAACTACGTTTGGAACGCCAAAAGCTGAAGAATTATTGAAAAGTAATTGCCTGAGATTTATGATAAAAATAACCAAAACTCAGATATTCTTTTATTTCATATTCCTCTTAATTTGTCCATTTCGGATTCAAAATCAGAGGCTTGTAAAAATAGCATTTCAGATCTATCTCTGTTTCTCAAAAATTGCTACCCAAGAAGCTAACCCCTAAAGTCTCTAATTTTGAGTTATTGACCATGAAGTAGGCAGCCAGTCAGTAGCTCCCTACCATCTACGCTAAAGGATTGACTGTAACTCTCATAACGCACCCATAGCAGCGCGAGGAATATTTTATGATATCTCATGGATTCGTACCCGGCTCCAAAATACAGTTCTCTACATCAGGATCAACCCGCGCTTTTATGATTTATCAATCTCTGAATATCTGCTCGACAGGTTTTAAAACTAGAAGAACGATATTTTCAAATACATATTCAACATTTATATTTTCGTGCAAGTAATACATTTTCTCACCGTGTTTCTTTTCTCTTTTTCAGAGGACGTTTTTTTTTTTTCGTAACTTACCGTTTAAGTTTTTCTTCCCTCCCAGCAAGATTCATAATTCGTCCCAACATTTCAAATGCTAATGTTCAATGTTATTTATTGAAGTAAGAGTTTTAATGATAGATAAACCCAAGAATATTAAGGCATTACTGATCGAGACCCATTACTTAATTTGTTTTAAGTATAATTTTATTTGTTTCTATCAACCTACCTCGGTCACATAAACTTCGAGACTGACAACGGGAAACGAACCATCAGTGTTCTTGCTCCATTCCAGCTGAAAAACAGTTCAAATTATCATGTCCTTTGTCACTTCCACTATGATTCTGTGTAGACAGTTTATCGTTTGATTTATTTTATACCTTCTGTATTGAAACATTCTATAAGTTACACGATTCATATTATCTCTGCTCAACTACATTCGCCAAGCAGTTTTTCCAAATTGAATTTTTTTTTGTTTATTCTATTTGAAATTAAGCACAAAGCTACACAATGGGCTATCAGTGTTCTGCCCACCACGGGTATCGAAATCCGGTTTCTAGCGTTGTAAGTCCGCAGACATGCCGCCGTGCTACTGGGGGGGGGGGCGAAAATTCTTTTAAGCAAATATTTTGTATGTAAGATAAAACTACTACAGTTATCTGTCTCCCTCCTAATTATGAACCACTTCCCAGAGGGAAAGAAGCCAGTCAGCATCACCCTATCCCCCACTTTCCACGCTAAGGAATTGACTGTTACTATTATAACGAAATCACAGCTTATTGTGCGGTGGATATTTTGTTGCATCTCACGTATTCGAGCCCGGCTCACCAGCTTCAAAATCCAGAGCCCTACTATAGAGCCAGCCCGCGAATGTTTTAAGCAAAGAAACGTTTTTAATGATAACTAAGTAATTAGTGTAATAATAAAATACTTTATTAAAATATTTTAAAAGCCAAAATGTAATGATGCACGTAATAAATAGATATAGAAAATGTACAATAAAAGAATGAATTCTTAGGTAGAACTGAAAACCTAAATACGTTTTTTGTAAGTCTAAAGAAAACTGCTGGTAATGGGCTCTGATTTATATTCCAGCGTTGCTATAGTTACAACTTTTGGTATTTGTGGTAACTTATTCCTGCTCGATTCTGTGTGAGATTTTTGACACGTGGAAAAAGCGTTACTTTTTTAATTTAATAATTTACTTTTAGTCTATCTTACTTTAGTTTCAAGCTGTTTACCACCAGATTTAATTACATTTAGAATTGGTTTGTTTGTGTCAGAGCTAAGCCACATTGAGATAACTGCTGCGTTCACCGCAGGGAATCGAACCCCGGATGTTAGCATTGTAACTCCGTAGATTTACCGCTGTCCCACCGGAGACTTTCAATTAGTTTAAGATAGCCAACGAAACTGCGTTTAATGTTTATAAAGGATTTCTAAAAAAAAACTGAGCTGATTATATTTACATATAATTTATATAACTTAAAAGAACATCTAAATAATATAATATAATCTTAATTAACAGTACCAAGGAACTAAAACCTATAACGGGTAAACTACATTGAAAAATGAATTAAGAACCCTCACTGTTAACAATGTTTACAATCTATAGAATGACCCAAACAAATACATGAAACGGTTACTTAAGTTGTTTCATCGTGCGCCTAATTAAAGCAAGTCCAGAAAATAACTATTCTGTGGAAGTTGATTCTAGTTGAATTTTAAAATGCATTTCAAGATGACTATGGATAAAAAACAAAAAACAGTCACATCGAAACGGCTTCAGAACAGCTTCTGGATTTTCCCGTGACCTGAAATGCGTAATTTTGGATTCCATAAGTCAACATGGCTGCCATTTTTATTTGTGCTCCGAAATAGTCGATGAAATGTGCATATATAATCACATTGACCAGCACCTACAGTTAACAAATCATGAAGTGACACGTAGGTCGATTCATAATCACGTGTTACATAATTGTTTATATCGTACAATTATCCAAAATGCTTATAACACTCATAGTAACGCTATTTCAGAACTTTCCTGTACGTCCAAACTTCGAAACATGTATGCTGTGATACTGATATAGAAGTTAGTTAATTTCGTTTTCCTGACAATTCCTTAAAGAAAATAGTCCGTATGTAAAATTCCCGGAGATCTATTCACGCAAAAAAATAACACGAGGAATATTAAACCAGTGCCCCCCCCCCCTCCGCCCTCATAAAAAGCAAACAAAAAAAGTAACTTTCTTATTGCACGCATTGAGAAAACACGATGGAAGGAATGTTTTCTTCTATTTGTTTACTTAAATAGACGTATATCGAACAAAAATCCTTTTTGAAATATATTTTGGTAAGTTATAAATGGGTACCTTACCCAGGAGTAACATTGTTCAACAAAAATGCTTTTTTGAAATATATTTTGGTAAGTTATAAATGGGTATCTTACCCAGGAGTAACATTGTTCAACAAAAAAGCTTTTTTGAAATATATTTTGATAAGTTATAAATGGGTATCTTATCCAAGAGTAACATTGTTCAACAAAAATGCTTTTTTGAAATATATTCTGGTAAGCTATAAATGGGTATCTTACCCAGGAGTAACATTGTTCAATAAATGGGTATCTTACCCAAGAGTAACATTGTTCAACAAAAATGCTTTTTTGAAATATATTCTGGTAAGTTATAAATGGGTATCTTACCCAGGAGTAACATTGTTCAGTTGAGGAACCACGATAATAACAATTCTATGGTTTCTATATATATACGTTAAATATTTCTTTTCTTTTTCAATTAATAGGCGAAACTGCAGTCCACAGAAAAGGGGACGGCCAATCAAGGAATGCATTAGGCCTCTACGTCACATATTCTCTTTTCAATTTCACATCTGGTGAAAAAGAAATAGATCTTTAACATATAAGTACAATCATTAAACAGTTGGTCCGCTGTATATCCCCCCCCCAGTAGCACAGCGGTATGTCTGCGGACTTACAGTGCTAGAAACCGGATTTCGATACCCGTAGTGGGCAGAGCACAGATAGCCCATTGTGTAGTTTTGTGCTTAACCAACCAACCGCTGTATAATATCAAATAATGAATTCCAGGAAATGTCATAACATCATTCACATACCTAAATTAATTTAGGTTACTACATGGACTCAAACCCCACAGATAATTCCATGATTTATTTAGACTGTTGCCTGGAGGTATGAGCATTGAACTACAGAATTGAAGCATCTGTATGTGTATTAAGGAACAAAGATAGAGTTGTTGCCTGTACGTTAAAATTCGCAATAAAGGGTTAAAAAAATAAATGATATACATTAGAGATGAAGTTAACATCAAACTAAATATAATGATGTCACACTTGAAATTTAGTTATTACAACCTACACGAAACAAACGTGCTCACATAATTGTCCAGAAAACACCACTCCCAGAGTGTTGTAATGCCTTTAACATCTGGAGGCCAGTCAGTGCGAAGGCCTTGAAATTTTCTACATGGAATGCCTCGTTTCCAAACCTGTAGTAAGTTAGAAAAAAACATCACTCATAAATAAAGATATGTCAGAGAGCATGTCTTATATATATATATAAAAGGTCCTTACAACACTGATATATTGAAAAGTTTTTATTTCGTGTGCGTGATACATTATATTGTACGGCATTGTGTTTCAGACACAAAATGTAGTCAGCTTGCGGAAAGAAACGGATTTTTAATGAAATGGAAAATACAACACTACTGTTTCCAAAAACAATGCATAAAATAATGTATGATACGAATATGATACTAGATAATCTGGAAAGAGGATTTAGAATTCCGATACGATCAATATTCATAACATCTGGGAGGAATTAGGGAGGGAGTATTGAATGATATTAGTAGCATATTTGGCCTAATTGGTGCAGAAAGTGAGAGAAACGTATATCCAATAATGCAAAAATAAATAAATAAATAATCTGTAATGTGTTCTTCAGTCCTAGATATCTGTTCTCAATTATTATCAAATAAATAGTTATCTGGTGAACTTATGAGAACGTGTGATACAATTCTTTTTTTATGATAACAAACCAGACAATCAGTGCATTACAAGTGGCGCGAGAAGGACCAGGGTGAGTTGAGTCCAGGATAGATCAATTAATGCATTACAAGTAGTGCGAGAAAGACCAGGGTGAGTTGAGTGCAGGATAGATCAATCAATGCATTACAAGTGGTGCGAGAAGGAATATGGGGAGTTGAGTCCAGGTTAAATCAATCAGTGCATTATAAGTGGTGCGAGAAGGATTATGGGGAGTTGACTCCAGGTTAAATCAATCAGTGCATTATAAGTGGTGCGAGAAGGATTATGGGGAGTTGACTCCAGGTTAAATCAATCAGTGCATTATAAGTGGTGCGAGAAGGATTATGGGGAG